CGGAGTATTATTTTATCTGTTCATTTTTTAAAATTATTTATTATTTTTATTTTATGTGTATGAGTGTATTGCCTGCAAGTGTGTGAGTGCACCCATGTCGTACAATGCCGTGGAGGTCAGAAGAGGGCTTCAGATTCCCCTGGAACTGGAGTTAAGGATGGTTCGTAGCCACCATATGGGTGCTAGGAATCGAACCTGGGTCCTCTGCAAGAGCAGTCAGTGCTCTTAACCGCTGAGCCATCTCTCCAGCCCCAACATTATATATTTTTACATGATCCTAATAGCTCTTCAGAGAAAACTAAACTTTAATTTTGAAAGACATAGGACTTGGAAAACCTAAGTGTTTCTGAAACTCGTGTATAGTAACCTCCCTATTTCAGCTTTTATCTCTTGATAAGTTGAATGAAATTCCTGCATTGAGATGCTGTGTAGTTATAGATTAACTCTTCAGGCCAAATCCATGTTGTTCTCAATTCCAGGTAATCTTTTAAATGTTGAATTCTGGTAGAAACTGCCATATCAACAATAGAAACAGAAGGTGATGGAGCCTGGGTCTGGGGCTTCTGTAATTACACTCAGGGAATTTTCCATAGACGCTGAGGCAGGGAAGCCAGAAGCAAACAGGTGTGTGTTTTCCCAGGTCCCCAGTTAGCCCAGCAATCATAATTAGTGTTGTTTTGTCCTTTTTTTATGCTATAGCAACAATTCCCTTTCCTGTTACACAGGAAAACTTATTCTGCTGTTAAAAGAAGGCACTAGATGTATTTAGTACATAAAGAGCATTTTGTCCATGGAAATAATTTGTATTGTTCTGAGTCACTCTGGTTTGTGGAATTTCAACATGAGTTCCAGGACAAGGATGAGATGACGTACTTATTTTTCTTTGTATCTTCTTTAATGTTTTTGGATGCATGAATGTCAGCCTTGTTGTCAACATATTTCCAAATTTTTATTACTTTAGAAGTGACTGCCGCAGTGATGTCCTTCCATTGACAATTCACTCTGTGTACTTGGCGCGCTATGCTTGGGCAGGCTGTCCTGCTCAGTGTGAAGTGAGCTCTTGTTTTCCTCTTAGCTCAGTTCATGTCTTCTCAATACCTGCCATTTTAAAGATTTCACAGACTTTAGAAAATACCAAAATAACTTTTTCTGAGCTGCTGGAAGGACTTGAATTAAGTTGTAAGCTTCAAAGGACATTTGTTGCGACTCGCATTTTCTTCTTGTGTTAAAATAAGCCTGGACACACATGGGAGCACACACCTGTAATCCCAGTACTTGGAGGTGGACGTAGGAGGACTTTGAGTTCAAGGACAACCTGGGGTACATAGTGAGATGCTGTCTAAAAATAAAATAATTTTAAAAATAAAAAGTAAAGTAAACATCACTGGAAATATTTTCTAATTCAGCCCAGAGTTTCTCCATGAAGACAAATCCTAGAAATACATAGTCCCTGGCTTCATTTTCCAATATTCTTTGATTTGATGGCAATTATTGTGTTTGTTAATCACCTCTAGGAAACTAGGTTTTAAGGTAGATGACTATAAACTTTAATAACAGGTTAGTTGTATTTACTGAGAAGCCTTGGGTATTTTGCATTTTTAAAAATATTTGCAAGGAAACCAATGACTTGTCCTGTAGATTAAAATTTCAAGTTACTGGTTATTCCTCCCATCATTGCTCTGTGTGTAAGAGATTCTGACTGACTAACTGAGGCTTAAAAATTAAATCTTGTGCTTCCTTGTAAGGACAAGAGAACTGGTGATTTGTTTCCCACCTTCCTTGACTTATTGTGCCCAACTATCAGCCTCCTAGTTGACATTCTTAAGAAAAAAGAGACTATAATAGTATTCAGCCTTACCTAAGAGTAAGGTAAACAGGTTTTGAGACACGGTATCATTCATAGCCCAGGCTAGCTTTGAACTCATAGCAATCCCCCTACTTTAGCCTCCCAAATGTTCTTTTAAACAAGTCATTTCTAACAGATTATTTCTTCTCTTAGAAACAATGATTGGTCCTGCCCTATAATATATACATTCCTATATCCAGAAGGATGAGTGTGTGTGTACATGTGTGACTGTGTGCGAGAGTGTGTTTGTGTGTGCATGTATGTGTATATGAGTGCATGTGTGACTGTATGACTGTGTGTGGTGAGGGTGTGTGTGTGTGTGTGTGTGTGTGTATATGTGTGCATCTGTGTGTGTGTGCATCTGCACACTTGGGAATGTGGCTAAGTGCTCAGAAGCTTTAGATGGTTGGTTTTCTTACTAGATCGCGTCTTAACCTGATCATGTGCTTTCAACAGGTTGACATGATGAAAGATGCTTTAGAAAAACTGCAGCTCAACATAGTAGAAATGAAGGATGAAAATGCAACCTTGGACGGTGGAGATGTCTTATTCACAGGTACACTTGCGTTGTTTTCTATTCAAACTATTTCTAGTACCTGACTCGTAGTTGCTTGTTCCATGAATATTTTTCTTTAGTCATCAATTTAATAGAAGCTAAATGCAGGGAATTAGAAAAATACAGAAAAGCACCGTGAGGAAGAAATGCCTTCCAGTCAAAGATAATTGCTGCAATATTTGGATAAATTTCATTTTGGGACTTTAATATGCATAATTTTCTCTTCTTTACAGGAATAGTATTGATATGTACAATGTCTTTCTATAATTGCATTTATGTGTTACATAGCTTTCCATTGTGTAACCATATATTGGTTTGTACTTAATTTGAACTTAACACCATTTACAAATAATTTTCTTTCCAGATGGCAAGATAAATTCAAATAATTCCCTATGCAAATTGACTTGGCTTCATGCCCAATGAATAATAACAGAGTTCCACAAAATCTGAATGTTAGTACTATTATTGATCTAACCAGAATCAATGTGATGGCTAGCGAAGAAACAGTAATTATAGCAGTTAACCTCTCTACCTCTTTGTGAGCTCACAGTTATTATATAAAATCTTGATCCCCACATTCATTCTAGTTATACTGAAGAGCGAGATGATCACTAGTAGTTTAATTGATAGTGAACGTTTCTTTGCCACTAAACAACAAAGCATTTCATCAACATAGCCCAAATGGCAGAGGTTAGTCCTTGAGCCTTGGACGGCAGCCTCACATGGCCCACTGAAAGCACAAAGCTTCTTAGAAGGCCCCATCAGGTGGCTGCAGTGAATTAATGACGAATCGCATATACATAGCCAAAGTATGGCCATCTTTGTTATCTAAAAAATGTTTTGTATTACTGGCATTTAGATCTAATGAACGGTTCTGGAGGAGGAGAAGGAGGATTCTTTATTCTGTGGCATTTTGGTGGCTCCTTGCTTGGTGTTCTGTGCCTGTGGGCAGAGCCATTGCATCGTCCATCTCCACAGGGGTGCTACTCAAACCATGGCTTGTATGAATAGCACCCAGTGGAATTGTGCCCTATGCTGCCATTGTCACAGGCAATGGCCCTCTGAAGTTTGGTCTACGTGTACATTGCACTCTCAGAACACAGAGGAGGAGTCAAGGGTGCCTACAATGCATTCTTAGCTCTGATTGTGCCCAGGCCCACTCAGGCATTCTTTGAATCTGCCCAGTAAGTTCCCTCCAAATATTCTCAGTGCCCCTTATTGATAGACTTTCATTCTTCTTGACAGACCAGAACAACAGCTAGTTTCTCTTAGAAAACAGACTTTTGTACAAAGCAAATGTGTAAATCACACTTTCTTACAATACAACTATTTTTTTTCTGGAACATACATATATAATTTTAAAAACTCCTTGTAAATGAGTATGACTATCCTTTGAAACATTGCTTAAACAAGGTATGTTCACAACTCTAGCTATCTTAATAGCTCGACTACACAAACACCTGACAGTCCCCAGTGCAAGGACACAATTATACTAGGAATCTCTCTCCCTTTGGTCAAAGTTCTTTCCACAGCCTGTCAAGCCTGATGTCTTTGCTCCACTAAACATTAAAGCTTGCCTTTGATGCTGTCTATAGACTTCTTATTCAAGATCATATTTGTTTTTTAATGTTTTATTATTTTTATTTTATGTGTATGAGTGTAGGTAAGTGCACTTACAATGCTTGTGGAGTTCAGAAGACAGCATCAGATCCCCTGGAATTGGAGTTATAGACAATTGTTAGCCACCACATGGGTGTTGGGAATTGAACCCAGGTCCTCTGCAAGAGCAGCCCATGCTCTTAACCACTGAGCCATCTCTCCAGCCCCTCAAGCTCACCTCTCAAGACTTAATTTCTTCAAAACTGAGATGAGGGGTTGCGGAGATGACACGGTGAGCGAAGCACTTGCTTCTCAATAAGGACTTGAGTTTGGGTCCCCAGAACCCACACAAAGCCAAGGACAGTAACACACGGTTGCCCCAGTGTTCCTGCAGTGAGGTGGGAGGCAGATGCCGGACAATTCCCAGAAGCTTGTGGGCCAGACAGCCTATGACTACGTAGCAGTGAACAAGAGATTTCCTGCCTCAAACAAGGTGGAAGGTTCAAGGCCTGCCTGACACCCAACGTGATTGGATTCCGATCACCATCCATGATCTAACTCTCTCTGTCTCTCTTTTTCTCTCTCACACATACACAAACCCCACAAAGATTTACAAAAACAACCTGTTCTCCTCCCCTTTCTTCTCCCCTCCGCCCAGTCATCTTCCCCCTCCCAATCATCTCCCCCTCCTTTGATAAAACATAAAATTTGCCATTTTTACCATTTTTAAGTGTGAAATTCATGAAATATGAGTTACATCCCAACCTGTACAAGTTTAGCTCCCAACAGGCAGAGTTGGGCAGGTACTAGACTCTAGCACTTTCTGTGCTCGCTGCCCTTTCCTGCTGTAAGTCATAGCTTCATTAATAATGTATCAGGAAATGGGCAGAAGGAGAGCTACTTTCCAATTCTAGTTCCTGCTGGGAATTCTGTCAGTCAACCAAGCAGCTACTGGCAAAAATTATTTCCATCTCATTTCCCTTGAATAGATAACATCAACTTACCTCCCCTTTTATTTTGTGAAGTAGACTTCATAGAACTGAATTATAAGTGTATGTACTAATTAAAGATCAATAATAAAATTATTTGCATGTCCACCCCTGGCCTATAAACTAAAACCCTACAGGGACCAAAGAAGCCCCATGTGGTCCCCTGTTCAATCTCTCCCTAGAAAGTCCCAGAAAACCATTTCCCTGAACACTGTGTAAATCACTTCTTGCACTTTCTTTGAAGTTTATCTCAATGTATCTATTTATAAGTTATATGTTTAATTTTGCCTGTTTTATAGTTTTACATTACTAAAATATACTGTAGGAATTCTTGTATGGTTTTTCTACTTTTGACCTAAGTTGTTGTGTGTAGATGTAGTACCTTCAGTGGTAGCCAGTGCTCTGTGGTAGGAATATACCCCCATACGTTTATTCATCTTACTAGTGATATGCAATTTGAGTGTTTCTTGAATTCTATTATCATCGTCAATGCCACTATGTTCATTCCTATGTGTGTCTTCTAAGGTCAGATATAAGAGTTTCCATAAGGCCAACACTTGAAAATGAATTCTAGTGAATTCTTTTCTTGTTTCAATAAGATGATCATATGATTTTTCCTCTGTCGTTCCCATTTTCTGACACTTGAGTCTTGCATCTCTAGGATGAAATCAAACTTGATCATTATTCACTTTTTCATATAGTATTGGATTTAGTTTGCTAATATGTTGTTAAAGCTTTTATTTCCAAGGCCTATACGTTTTCTTTATTGCTGTCCTCATCTGGTTTTGGTAAAAGTGTTATAGTAACCTCGTAAGATTTTATTAGGAATGTTTCATATTTTTCTGTTCTCTGAATCAGTGCTATTTGTATTGTGTATCTCTTGAGCTTGATAAAATAGATGCATAAACAGATCCTAGTGCTTCCTTTGTGGGGAAGTTTTAGACTGATTCAGTTTCTTTAATGATTATATAACTACTTGGCTTTCCTGAGTCTGTTTTGGTGAATTCCATTTTCTAAGGTTTTTAATCTCTTTTCTCTAAGTTCTCAAAAATGTTAGTTATAAAGTCACTCATGCCTTCTTTGTGTCTTTTTAAACTTCAAAGTAACTGTAGCTATAATTCTTTAGTAATTCTTAAAAATATTTATTATTTTTATTTTATGTGTATGAATGTATTACCTACATGTATGTAAGTACATCTGTGATGCACAGTGCCCATGGAGGTCAGAAGAGGGTATAAAATTCCCTAAGACTGGAGTTAAGGATAGTTGTTAGCTGCCATGTAAGTGCTGGGAATCAAACCCAGATCCTCTGCAAGAGCAGTCAGTGCTCCTAACCTCTGAGCCATCTCTCCAGCCACTATAATTCTTTTCCACTGTGATGTTTATGCCTTTTTCCATTCCCTCCCTTGCCAGAGGTTTTCCAATTTTATTAACCTTTGCAAAAGACCAACTATTGACTAGTGATCCCTTTCTCTATATTCCCTCTATCTTCTTTCTTTCTTTCTTTTAAGTTTCTTTGCTTTTAATTATATTCTATTTTTCTTACATGTTGAGTTGGATTTTTTTTTTTTGTCTTTTTGAGACAGGGTCTTCTTGTAGCCCCAGCTAACCTGGAACTCACTAAAGTAGACCAGGCTGGTCTTGAACTCAGAGATCCGCCTGCCTCTGCCTCCAGAGTGCTGGGATTAAAGGCATGCACCACCACACTTGGCTCTTTTGAGTTGGAATTTTATCTGATGAATTTTGAAATTTTCATCTTCTCTAATGTATAGATTAATGTAATGTAATATAAAGTACTGCTTTGTAAAAATTCTTTTTTTCTTCCTTTTCTTTTTTACCCTCTCCCCCTCTTTTTCTTTCTTCTCTTTCTCTCTCTTTTTTGTGAGACAACTTCTCATGTATCCTAGGCTGGTCTCAAACTCACTATATAGCTGAGGATGACCTTGAACTCCCAATCCTTCCTCCAACTCCCAAACGCTGGAATTATAAGCTTGTACTACTACACCCACTGAGAATCTTTGTTTTTCTATGAGTAATTTGTTATCCTTTAGTTCTAAATGTTTCCTTATTTCCATTATGATTTATTTAATCATTGACTCATTAGTGGCTCGTGATGGGTATATTTTTTAACATGGCCATTCTTGTAAGGTGGGAGAGCATCAGTTCTAACAGTGGTTCTAGAAAGTAAAGACTGAATCATTTAGCCTGTCTTTCCTTTATGAATTATACTTCAAATAGACCAGATTTTTTTCTTTTTAGAATTATAACTGTAAATGCAGATTCCTAATAAAATAATGATCTGTGCCTGGTCATCAAAGGAGGCTAAAACCACTATTCAAAAGTCTAATGGGAAACTATAATGGAAGGATTAGCCAGTGTCACCTGAGCCCACTTGATCATAGTAGTCCAACCACACTGAAATGTGACTCTCAGTCATGTACCTTGTATGAGGCAATGAATGAACCTACAGGACCCTCTGGGAAAAAAGAGAGCACCTCACCAGCCTTCTCCCTGAAATGTCAAATCACCAAAAACACAAGAGTAAAGGGACATTTGAAATGCTAAATGTTGTGAGGAAGCAATCAGCCACGTCTGGAACGTAGGGTTGTTGGTAGATGAAAGACCTGGTTTCTCTTATAAGTGAATGTGGTCAGAGGGGGGTAAGTTTTGTGTGTGTGTGTGTGTGTGTGTGTGTGTGTGTGTGTGTGTTTTAAGTATTTCTACACACACACACACACATTATTAGTATTAGGGGTAAAACTCAGTGTCTTGTGAATGTTAGGCAAGTGATCTACCACTGAACTGCAGTTCCAGCAAAAAAAGTGAATTTGCATTAAAAAAAAAAAGAAAATACAAAAACAAAACATTTAAATATTTCAGTTGTTTACATCAGGAAGGTCAGTTAGGGGATCCTGTCTACAATATTGCCCAAAACAGAAGTACAGCTTTCAACTCTTTATGTTTATTTATTTGGGGGGATGAGGGACACACGGGTGCTAAGGTGACAGAGGACAACTTTCAGCAGTCAGTTCTCTCCTTCCACCACGTGGGTCCCAGGATCAAACTCGTTTATCAGGCTTGGCGGCAACACCTTCACCTACTAATCCATCTCAGCCACCAGCTTTCTTTTTACCTACCTTTGCACTTCCTTATCAGACTTTTTTTTTATTATTTTTATTTTATGTGTATGCGTGTATTGCCTGCATGTAGGTAAGTGCACCCATGTTGGTGTTGTGCAATGCCCGCAGAGGACAGAAGACACTGTCAGATTCCCCGGAACTAGAGTTACGGATAGTTGTTGTCTGCATGTGGGTGCTGGGATTTGAACCCAGGTCTTCTGCAAGAATAGCCAGTGTTCTTAACCACTGAGCCATCTCTCCAGCCCCTCATACTTTATTTTTATAAAATGGAAATAGCATGCATATCCCTTCATGAGTATGTTAATGCTTACCGAAGTTTTTCCTAGAGAGTGTATGTGTGTGTATAATTTATAAATCTATTTTTATCCTAGAGGAATTTTTTAAATATTTTATTTACTATTTTTATTTTTTGTGTCTGAGTGTTTTGTCTGCATGAATGTAAGTGTACCCATGTTGTGCAATGCCCATGGAGGTCAGAAGAGGGCATCAGATTCCACTGTAACTGGAGTTACAGAGTTGTTGGCCACCATGTGAATCAAACCCAGGTCTTCTGCAAGAGCAGCCAGTGCTCTTAACTACCTAGCCATCTCCAGGATTTCTTTGGTGAAGTTCTCCCCCATGGAGAAGAGAGCTGTGTGTTGCTTTAAAATCATGATTTATAGATAAAGAAACAGTGCACAGTGGTTGGGACCACCCACTCACTATGTTTCATGACATCTGTTATAGGCAGAGAATTTTTTGTGGGCCTTTCCAAAAGGACAAATCAACGAGGTGCTGAAATCTTGGCTGATACTTTTAAGGTAGGTGAAGGATAATTTATGCCTGGCTCAGAGTAATTGCTTAATAAATATTCATAGACCTATTGAATCAATATGCCACAGGTAATTGTGTTTATATTTCACTGGCTTTACAAAATTATTCTTAGTATTTGTACATTTGCTAGACGTTTTAAAGACTATTAAATTCAAATTTCTTAATAATCAGAATTCATTGGGTTACCACAGGAACAACAGTGTTAGCATGTTCATCTTCTGGTTCCCCCCCACTCCCTTGCATAATCGTACAAACACCTAGCACATGTGGCACAATCACTTTTTAAAAAATAAAGTCTGGGGGCTGGAGAGATGGCTCAGCGGTTAAGAGCACTGACTGCCCTTGCAGAGGACCAGGGTTCGATTCCCAGCACCCACATGGCGGCTACAAACCATCCTTAACTCCAGTTCCAGGGGAATCCGAAGCCCTCTTCTGACCTCTGCGGCATTGCATGACATGGGTGCACTCACATACATGTAGGCAGTACACTCATACACGTAAAAAATAAAATAAAATCTGGAGGCCCAATTGAGTCTACTACAAAAATGTGATTTTACAGACCAGAATCAGGAGTCATCTGTACATAGGTACCTACTGTGTACCTGAAAGTATATAAAGTATTGTGTCTGTCTTATTGCTCATCAGCAGAATGATTCTCTAAACTGGTAAAGGACACACACACGCACACACGCACACACACACACACACACACACACATATGCACCTCCTCAACCAACAATCTCTGTTTCCTATGGGAATGTGAGGCTCTGGCTGATCCACAGTTTCTCCAAGAGATTGAAACCACCCTCCCAGAGTAGCCCACTTCATAGGCCAAACACCTAGCAAAGCTGTTGACACAGTCAAACTCCAGAAGGAAACTTTTCTTCTTAAAAGCTGCCTTCAGCCAGACGTGGTGGCACACACCTTTAATCCCAGCACTTGGGAGGCAGAGGCAGGCGGATCTCTGTGAGTTCAAGGTCAGCCTGGTCTACATAGTGAGTTCCAGGACAGCTGGGGCTACAGGGAGACCCTGTCTCAAAAAGACCAAAAAAAGAAGCTGCCTTCATTTAACTGGCAAGCCCAATATTGGTGAGTCGCAATTTTTCCTTCAGATATTTAGGGTCAAAACTATCAAAGAAGCAAAGATAGTTCAGGCAGGTTTTCAGTCAGTCTTTAGAATTCCTCTGCAGTAACAACTTGTCTTTCTTTTTTGTCTGCATAGGACTATGCAGTCTCCACAGTGCCTGTGACTGATTCTCTGCACTTGAAGAGTTTCTGCAGCATGGCGGGGCCTAACCTAATTGCGATAGGGTCTAGTGAATCTGCGCAGAAAGCCCTCAAGGTAAACATAAAGCTGTGCTTCTAGGTACAGCAAGCAATGCCTGGCTACAGTCTGGACAACAGGCAGGGCCAGCAGGGACAAAACGGACTGGCATCTGAGGTAGCAATGTGCACTGTCTGGTCTGGCGTTCATTCAGAGTCAGAACACCTAAGTATAGGCAGAGATCATCACTGGTAAACCATTCTTAGTCACACATCTGACTTCCTTAAGTGGTCAAGATTCCAAATAATAAACACCAGACTTATCAGTAATACATCCTGGGATAAAAGGGCATGCTACCAGGCATGTTCCTTTATAATGTTTTCTCAAGTAGGAGAGTTGGTACACCAGGAGTTGTTAGAATATTATTGTTTTGTGTGTCTGAAATATTGGTTACAATATTTTTGTTTTGTTTATGTCTGAATTATTTCTTAAAAATCTTTTAGAAAGTTGTGATTCAGAAAGTACTTTAAAAGCTTACTTTCTTAATTTGTATTTAGAGTAATACATTTTAGAGCAGGAAATGTCTTCATCTTCTAGGTAGACTAGAAAAGCCCAGGAAAAACCGGGTATGGTGGCGCATGACTTTAATCCCAGCACTTGGGAGGCAGAGGCAGGCGGATCTCTGTGAGTTCAAGGCTAGCCTGGTCTTCATAGTGAGTTCCAGGCCAGCTGGAAGACCCTGTCTCAAAAAGACCAAAAAAAAAAGGAGGGGGGGGGAGGCGGTGGTGCAGGAAAATTATAAATTGCTTAGGCCACAGAACTAGATCCAGAGTGTCAGTCATTGATGATGAAGGCCTTCATTGTTACCATGTTTTCTCCTACAAGACACTTCTCTGCTCTATAGCTTCAACCCTTTAACCCTAGGAGATGATCTGGAGGCTTTGGAAGGGCAGAGGCCAGGTCTTGCTCATCACTGAGCCCCTTCCTATATGGCCCATAGTAGACCTTGAATATATTCCTGGTGAGTGGATAAGTAAACAAGTGGGGTGGCATTATCCCCCTTTGATAAACTAGATAGAGTAACTCATCACAGGCCACATGCTGGCACTAAATGGTGGTCTGGTATAGCATCCCCTTCCTCTGAGGTGGCCCTTCATGTCAACATGAGTGACTTATTCATGAATCAAAAGCAGAGACCCTCTTAGGCAAAGAGAGTAGATCTGTGTGCCCAGTGTCCACAGCTTTTTCCTTGCGTTTCTCTTCCTCAGCTAACTCTGGTGCAGATCAGCTGGAAAGCAGTCACTGCCTCGAGCTGAGTTTCCCCTCTGCATTGTCTGTCACAGCTTCAACTAGCTTGACCGGCCTTTTTCTCCTTTTCCGCTAACCTTATCTGACAGCATCCCTAGGGCTTTTAGCAGTTGTTGCTAGATTATCTAGCAGAATTTGCTTTGTATTTCAGTGGCTTTCTCTTGGGTTTCTTTAGCATATGTCTTTTGTTTGGTTTCATCTGGAAAACTGTGTTGGTTTTCTGTGTGTAGGAAAGATAACGTCATGAAAAGAAAGAATTTGATGAATGGTGCCATCCAGGGGACCTGGGAAGATGGTATTTCTCCTTATGGAATAACTGTGGCATCTATCCATGGCAGCCAAATTGGTTTGCACATGTCTGAAATTCATTATAAGGGAAAGAGAATTTAAGCTAGCCTGTGTCATGTCTTTGTGTGAATCATCCCAAAGAGCTCCTTCTAGACTAAGTAGAAAAAAGTAGCCCCTTATGCCATTCTGAGTAGATGAGGTCCCAGAGTCAAATAGATTGGTGATCCCTGCTTCAACAGGTTCCTAATTCAGCAAGACCCTGACTCAATCTGGAGAAACTGACAACAAAAAATCAGAGATAATATAATATGGTTACTTATATGAAAAAGATCCTAATAGCTATTCAAAGGTCAGAGGAAAGCAGACAACTCCCTAGCAGTTAATCAGAGGAAGCCCTCTGGAAAAGATGAGGCTAAAGTGGGTCTAGATGGATGGGTGGTATTCAGTGAGAGAGTGTTCCAGATGGGGGGTACAGCTTAAGCCAAAACTGAGCAAAATGTGTTCATGAGATTTGAATAGACTGACAAACTAATGAAGTGTTTTCTTGCAGGACTCTGGGTGGACCAGATGAGGTCCAAAGACGTAGGCACCTTAAAAGTGAGATTTATCTTAGTGAAACAGGAGTCTGGCTACCCATAGGTCTGAGCTGAAAGATCTTCATTTCTTCAGACATGCTGGACCAACATTTCTTTTCCAATAATAAATGGAAGACAAAGACCTTGCAGTCAGAGATCTCTGATAGCGTAGCAAAAAATAAGTTCAAGTCCCAGGTCCCGTTGTATGTCTTAACACGTATGCCCCATTTTTTTCCTTCAGCCTTCCCTTCCTGTTGACAAGTTCTGTAACATCATAGCTCTTAGGACATTCTAAGAATACTTTATAGTCTGTCCTGCAGAGCTCATCTGTGTTAGTATTAATAATGATGTTCATTCTCTACTTGAAACCTTCTATGTCAGAAGCTATAAATAGTCCTCACTAGCTACAAGGACATTCTTTACAGATCATATTTTCCATCAGCAAACGTACTGCCTAAACCATGGGCCTGTGGAGTTGGTGAATGCCCACCTGCCATGTTCCTAACATCAAAACATGTCCTTTTACTTTGTGGTGAAGCAGAACAGATTGAACCTGAGCATCATGGGCTGTCCCTCAGGGAGTCGTCTCAGGTCGGGAACAGGTGTGTTGGTGACTCTCACATTTAGGGAAACTGAGAGGCCCATTTATTTGAAAACAATTTGGTTCCTTTATTAAAACTAACAGTAAAATTTATAAGGGATAAGTGATATTACTAACATGGAGATATAAATGGTGATATACAGATAGGCAGGAAAAGAAATAGAAAGAGATGCATCATTTAAAATAGTAGAAGCAGGATTGGAGAGACGGCTCAGCAGTTAAGAGCGTGGGCTGCTCTGATGACCTCCATGGGCATTGCACAACCCAGGTGCAAACTTACATACATGCAGGCAATACACTCATACATATAAAATAAAATAAAAATTAGAAATATTTTTTAAAGTAAAATTAAAAATAAGACTGAAGAGTTGTCTCAGCAGTTAAGAGCACTGGCTGCTCTTGCATAGGACTCAATTTCAGTTCCCAACACCCATATGGCAGCTAACAACCATCCAAAACTCCAGTTCCAGGGGATCTGATGCCCTCTTCTGGGCTCCACAGGTATTGCACAACCCAGGTGCACTTGCATACATGCAGGCAATGCACTCATACACATAAAATAAAAATTAAAATAAAATAATAAAAATGAAATAACAGAAGCATTATTAGTTTTATTTTATCCATTTTACAGGTGAAAATACTGAGGTTGGGTGAAATAAACATTTTGAGTAGGCTCTTATGGTTCCAGGACCTGATTTCCTAGGTGTTGATTCTCCTTGCCTTGATTGCCTGCTGTATTAGTCAGCCTTCTGGTGCTGTGACAAATACCAGAAGTAAATCAACTTAAAAAGACAAAAGGCTTATTTGGCTCATGGTATCAGTTCATGGTTACTTGGTCTGGCCTACATAGTGAGTGCCAGGTGGGCTGGGGCTATGGGAGATCCTGTCAAAAAAAAAAAAAAAAGAGGGAAAGAAGGGGCTTGGGACCCAATAGGGGATTTCAAAAGCAGTCTTTCAGTGATCTAACTTAGTGTGCCAGGCCCCACCTCCTACACAACCCACCACTTCCCAACAGTGCGCATGCTGGCAGCTAAGCCTCTAACACGTGAGCCCTTGGGGGACACTCAGAATCAAACTACAGCACCCACCCTACTCGATACACATTCTTTTTCTATTGGAAAACCTTTTCCATTATTTTTTTAAAACCGGTATTGGGTTCCCTGAGCTCCCTCTCCTCCTCCCCTCTCTCTCCAATTATTTCACCCCTCTGTTCCTACTCTAGATCCCAAATATAGAGAACAGAATGTGTTCTTTAATAGGATGTCAATGAGAGTCTCAGATCCCGATGATAACTTTCATAGTTTCTCCTGATGTCAGCAGCAGATTGAGTAAGGAATCTGTCCTGAGAAGGATTTTGCCTTCAAAGGAGTATTGGTTACGATACATTTTTTATATGGACTCCTTAAGGCACTCTGGAAAGTTAGCAGGGTTTTCATTAAGCCCCTAATCAATATTTGTCCACTTGGCATCATTTTCTGATATTTCTTTCCTGTTCATTAGTAACTCAAGCATACAGACAATGAAATGTTAACATAGTCACATGTCATCCTGGGTGTTGTAATTATATCTTGGGGATCCACTGGGACTGCCTCAGGCTCTGTGAAGTATTAGGTGTGAATCATCTGTGTATTGTCTACCCCTTTGAGACCTCCTCATTCTCTCAGAATCAACTGGAGTCGGCCTGTAGTAACACTGGCATCCTTCTGATGTCATAAGTCTGAGAGAGACGTCCAAAACCCCTATATATGTTTCTCAGTCTCATCCGAGAAACTAACCAAACCCTTCTTGATTTGCTTGCAGTCTTGCCAGCAGGTGGCAATGTTGCTGAAGGTTTTATTTCTCCCAATTTATCAGGTTTCCCAACTGAGGGTGCTCCATTTTATGAGAGTTTTTGTTTTTTTGTTTTGTTTTGTTTTTTTAGCCAACTTACAGTGTTTGAATAAATCTAGATCTTCTGTAAAAGTGAAGAAAGTTTGTATATATCATTTGCCTAGTTGTTTACAAAAGAAATATAATTATTAACTGCTATTGAAAAACTGTCTTCTGGACATAGCATGGCCACTGCATTTGTAAACTCAAGGAAGCTCTGGTTACTTGCTCAGGATGGGGCTCTTGAATAGGGGGTCTCACGAGGCATGACCCCTCTTGAGGTTACTGGGGGAGGAGGACTGATTTTCTTCAGTGTAGCCTCTGTTAAGTTGACCATGCACCAGTAAATAACCTCCATCAGTGCTCATGAAAGCAAGCCTGATTAGTCTCAGTGAGTCACAAAGCAGCCATGTAAACAAGAGGAGGTACTTGTTCGG